ACACGAAAAACAGGGGAACCTGAGTTTTAGGGTCACCGCCGAGGGCAAAAACCCCAAACAGCCCAGAAACCCTCCTAAACCTGGAAGACGACCACCACCGCAAAGTTGAAGACCGAGAAGAGGACCAGGCCATCCCTAAACGGGCGAAGAGGAAGAACAGGAAGTAGTTGGAAAAAGGGGGGGGGGAGGAAACGAAAGAAAGGAAGAGAGAAAGAGAGAAAGAAAGAAAGAAAGAAAGAAAGAAAGAAAGAAAGAAAGAAAGAAAGAAAGAAAGAAAGAAAGAAAGAAAGAAAGAGAGAGAAAGAGGGAAAGAAAGAAAGAAAGAAAGAAAGAAAGTGAGAAAGTGTGCGTATTTAAGGCGACGCATCCCGCCCAGAGAAACACGAGGACAAAGCCAATGCTCGAGGAAGAGGGCGTCGAATCCCGCAGAGGGGCCATGAGGAAGAGCACGATGAAGCAACGGTAGGGGACGAAGACGGCAAGCCAAACAGCGCGAGGGGACCGAGGACCACGAACAAATAGGCAAACAAGAAGAGGACGACGACGAAAAAGGAAAACAACGCGGCAGAGAAGAAGCCATCCCTAAACGGGCCAAGAGGAAGAACAGCAACACGCGGAAGACGGAAGGCCGGGAGAAGGAACGGGAGGAAGGAGAAGCCATCCCTAAACGGGCGAAGAGCAAGACGACGGACACGCGGACGACGAAGGCGAGGAGGGAGGGTGAAACGTATCTATGAAGAGGTGGCTGTCTTCCCTTTAGTGAAACCTCGTTCCTGCTTAAACGTGAAATTCCGCTGGTCTATGATAAGCACGTTGAGGTAAAATTTTCCGGCGAACCGGCCCGGGGTCACACGATGGGTACACCCGAGGGTCCCCCACGAATGGGGTGTTCACACTTACACTCCAGATGGAGGGATCTAATCTTTCGAGTACAACTGGTAAGTCTCGGCTTGGATAAGGTTCTGCATGAATAAGTTTCGGCTCGCAATGCACTCGGTTTCCCTCTAGTGTCGAAAACGTTACAAGGTTCAACATGAAGAACACACAGCGAGAGAAACAACGGGCCAAAAAGACTTTGCACAACCGTTGCAGGTACACAGCTGGACGTCTCCAACTGCTTCACCAGGGTCACGAAAGTGTCTTCGTTGGTGGCAAACTCTTGGCCCTGCTGCCACCCCCTGCTGTCGTGAAAAAAGGGATTGTATGGTGGCAGGGTATTCTGCCACTCCGCACACACACACACGCAGACACACACACACAGACACACAAACACACACACACAAACAGACACACACACACACACACTTAAACTCCAGATGGAGGGTGCTAATCTTTCGAGTACAACTGATGAGTCTCGAGTACAACTGATGAGTCTCGAGTGGGTGTAGGTTCGGCTTGCAATCACTTGGTTTCCGTCTAGCAGCGAACACGTTACCCGAAAGAACAAGAAGCACAAACAGCGCCGCAACCAAGGGGGCCAAATAGACATTTGCAAAACTGGTGCAGGTACACATCAAGGCGTCCCTTGATGCATCCAGTCATCCTCGATAGCTTCGTTGGCGTGGCTACGAGGAGACCGCCACGCCCCCTGCTACTCATAGTGGTGGCAGGGCATTCTGTCACTCCGCACACACACACGCCCCTCAGTGAGGGGCGAGAAGTCTCTTTTTCAGCAGGAAGATCACATGCTCAACTTTGTGTCCCTATCGTTGACCAAAATATCCACCGCGGCGAGGGGAACGCGAAACTGCCCTAAGCCGCTCAGAAGACGGGAACGAAAGGTCACCACGATGAGCATTACGAGTGTCGCCATAGAAGACTGGAGGGAATTGCAAAGCAGTCGAGCGATCACCGTCAGAAATAGGGGGAGCATAGGTGAACATTTCCTCGACTCGGATTGCATCGGAATTCTGCACATCAACAAGTGATTGATCAGGGGCATGATGTGTAGAGAAGGACTCCCTGCGAGACAGAATGCGTTGGTATCCTTGATGCTGCCAGTCGCGAATGGTCCACGCCTGACTGTGTTCACCAGTCCCTCCACTGGGATCAGCCGCTTCCACTCCCGAAACGAGTTGTCTGGTAGATCAGGTACGGTTTCTCCTGGTTGCCATAGCTGAGGCTGTTCCGGAGTATAGATCCGCACCCACTCCTGATCCTGCTAGACCGAGTATTCGAGCCATGGGTACTGCTTTGCATCCTCGATGTCCATGCCGAAGTGAGAGACAGGGAGTACCGCGGGTTCAGATCCAGCTAGTAAAGAAACAGTCACCATGCAGCACAACCATGCACAATCAGCAACCAAGCAAGGCAGCACAAGCATGAAAATCACCCTTTTGTGCCGCGACGAGCACAGGGAGAAAGACACTTCCCTCCATGACGTAGAAAGGCATGACAGTAATGCTTGCAACTTGTCAATGGGGACAGCGATGGACGGGTGGTTCGTTTTGAAGGGAACACGGTGAAGAAGGGTCGCCGAGATCTCCGCAGGGCAGAAGCG